CTATGGAATGGCATCATCGTCACCTACGACCATGTTGAGAGATATGGGAAAGGGAATGGCGTCAGCGTGCGGGCTCTCAAGGACAGCACCGAGCCGAGCCAACGGGGAGGCGCTGAGAATGATGCCTTGGAGGCACATGGCGAAACCTACCAAGAAGACCCATTCGGAGCCCATTGCAGCGCTCCCTTCTGCGGAGCCCACCTACGACCCTTGTGGGTATGACAGACAACACGGTGAGTGTGAGGCAAGCAAGGCAGGTAGAAAGAAGGGCCGAGTAAAGCGGTGGGGGCACAGGTGAGGACACAGTCGCTCCCTCCAAGTCGGGCAGGGACTTCGCAGAGGATCGCCGACCCCCCGAACTGCGGGCTGACCTGAACATAGTCCATTGCAGCGAACAACGACGTCCATTGAGGACCGCACCGCTCCCCTTCCTCATCAACAGTCCCAGATGATGATGGTGGAGTTGCGGCAGCTGCTATCCACCTGGCTGCTGCCATCCACAATGCCTGGGTCGTAAGGCCAAAGAGGTTGGTGGCCCATATGGGTGGGGAGTTTACCGATACACCATAGGAGATGGATATGAGGCAAAGGAAGGCCTAAGGGCAGTAGCAAGGGCAATGCTCAGCAATGTAGTACCTGGCTGAGCAGGAAAGGCATGGGCAGATTGGACGCATCTCGAGCCTTGAATGCCTGGACCACGCTACCGATAGGGGTAATGTACCTGAGGTGTGGTACGATGTAGTCCCTGAGGGAATATTAGAATATATGGCGGCTCTCCTCAAATGGGTTTAGGAGTTTCCACACTAGGTAGAAGTGTACCGAAAATTAATGACAATTTCCCCAAATTTCCTCAGAGTTTTCATATTGTCACCAACACATGTTGTTGACCATGTGCATATTTCCCACACTGCCCAGAGGACCCACTGGGTGTCCATGCGAAGGTATTACCCGATAAAGGAGATGAGAGGGCAGGCGAGAGAGAGAACTGCCAACAGTCCCGACCGTGTGTGGAAGATGAGCAGTGCCTAGGGGGCTGAGTAATAGTGACAAATGGTAAATATAGTGATACCTCTGTAACGATGAATAAAGTCCAATCAGCCGTGATTAAAGTGGCCAGGAACATTACAGCGGACACTGAGGGACGCCGAAGTACCCAGCCTAGCCTAGCCCGGGTAGGCGAATCCGACGATAACATATTAAAAACAGAGCCTGGCCTGCCTGCCTCGAGAATCCCGTCACAATCAACTCAACCACCAAGTTCGTAAACACCCAGTAGCAGTACCAAGGGCCATGCGAGGGCTGAATAGAAGCCTGTGCCTCGTGAGGACCATCCTAGTCAGCAGTTTACGAATACAATTTTTAGTGAATCAACTGGAAAACACCCCCATGCCTCTCAGAAAGTAGGAGAGTTCCTATGTAGGGTAGATTCATTGCGCACTTTCGTGCCATTGAGATCGACCGCGCACACAAGGTCAAGTGATGACGGAGATACAGCCAGGAATCGTTTGCATGTATGCAACAAGGGAATATGAAGGGCACAGGCTTCGTAACCTCAACATAGGCGTGCCCATTCTCCACGAAGTTCACGATGAATTTCAGTTTCACAGGAAGGCTAGCTAGGAATAACTACAACTATTATCCCCTCTACCACTCACTCTCCCATCGGTACTCATCGAACCTTATCACCCTTGTATCACCTTCAGATGCTCCATTATAGCAGCCACACTATCAGGTCACACCGTTGAGAAGTGCTCGCCAAGATACTTATAATGAGCTGTGTCGCTCAGTGGGAAATTCGTCGAATTCTGCAAGTTAGAGACAGTAGCACATTTCAGTTAAGCCACTCTGTCTTAGGTTGACCACAATGGCCTCTGGTCGGACCTGCGGAATGAGAAAAACGGATAGGGAAAGTTTTGGCCCTAGACTCTAGGGGTATAATATCGCACTGAAAAAATGCGTACCGTGGGCTCCAAGAAGCAGAATCGAACCGCACCCGCCAGGTTAGTGTTGTGACTACGACCCGACCATGTAGAGAGATAGAGATCGGCCGATTACGAGATGTCGCTGAAGTCCCCCCTGCGTAATGGGTAACTAGCCGCCTCAACGAGACATCTGATGAGTTGTGCAAAAGGTGTCGGGATCGATCCCGGCACACGTCATTTTTCCCGTCATTGCACTTCGGATGACGTGTAACCAATCAATGATCTTGTATTATGAGTGAGCATGACGTCGCTCGAGGCCCTTCCTTATCCCAGTCCTTA